AATGTAATGGAGCAATTTAAACTCCAGAAAGATTTTCAAAATAAAATTATTATATTGGAAAAGAAAGTTGAATTATTTTATGAATATTGTACCTAATATATTCTTTTTAAATGTATTTTTGAATATCTGAAATGTATTTTTGTAGTATCCAGCATTTTTGAGTGAATTTCATAATTGTTTCTAATCTTGTATTGAATCTTTTCTGTTCGAATTTGGATTGATGAGGCATTTGATTCTAAAATTAAAAAATGGATTACTTGGATACACTTTATTAAACCCCTACTTATCCATCTATTCCACCTATGCCTTTTTTTGCTTTTTAAAAATTAAAAAGGGACTTCATTAACATTTACTATAATAAATATCAATATTATTTAATAATAGCTCAATATATATGGTATAGTTTAGTAACAAATCTAATTTCAAATAGCTATTCTTTTCATGATCATTAAGTTCTCTCTCTAATCCAAATGTCTTATTGATATTTTGAAATTAGGAATATCTGCTGAAATTTCTAATTTCACATTCATCTTCAGGCTGTTTATTTGATGATAAATCCCCTATAGCAATTTTAAGCCTTACTCAAAATAAAAGCTAACAAAAAAGCTTTAATAATCAATCCCTTTTTTAAATAATGAATACTTCACTTTGCAATAGTTCTTATTCAGATTTCGATAATACATGGATTTCTTTCAAAAATTTTCTGATCTCTTCTACAAAATTTATTTTAATGATATTGAATGAGAATTATAATTTGAAGCTTGTAATTTTTCATAGATTTAAACTTAACTTTCAGCCAGAGCTATTCTAATCTATACATTATAAACAATTGTTTTAACATAATTTTATTTTTCTTAATATCTTTTAGAAATTATTGGACTGTTTTTTTATTGACAACCAATCGCCTTAAAATTAATTATTTCATATCCATCAAAAATGTATAAATAATAAAATCAAAAATTTCCTCACTATTCTATTTGTTTAATACATCAATACTTTAAAAACATAGATAATTTTCTCCTTCTCATTATTATCTACTTTTTTCTTCTGATTAATATTTGAGTCAGCAACTAATCGCCCTAATTGAAGGTTGTGAATTAGGACTTAATTTCTAACTCTCCTTGCTTTGCTAAACTGGAGAGATGAATTGAAAAAATTTTAGGTGTGATGAAGACTATAGCAGTGCTATATGTGGAGGTTAAGTATCATAAGGTAAGTGTGCAGCAAAAGTATTAAAGTAAAGTTTATCTAGATTTAAGAAGAACTATCTTTAAATAATAATGCTAAAACTGCTATTAATAATGTTAATACTTATACTAATAAGAGTTTATTAAAGTATCTTTGAAAGATAAATTAATGAATATAAGTAAAATGATTTGGATGAGATTATTAACTTTGAGAATGGAAGAAAAAAAATTATTTATACATACTTTTCAATCCCCCTTTAATTATGTTGAGTTTTTCGTTAGGGTTTAATCTGATTACAAAAGACCTTGATAAGTAAATCAAGAAAGAGTATTATATAGATAGATATATGAAGTTATCTTTAAGACATATGTTAATATATATAATATTAATGTAATCACGAAAACGAATGATGAATTGGAACTAAAATAAAAAATATTTTAGAGAAACTAAGATTTACTATAAGGATAAAAGATAGTGAATAATAATTCTCTTGTTAATACCAAAAAGTAGAACTATAGTGGACTTAAATCCCAAATTCGTACTTGGAAGAAGAGTTAATTGTTTTTTTTATTAAATGGTTTACTTTTGCTCCATTGATTGAAAAAATAAATTAGAGTTTTATTTATAAAATCTTTATGTGCTATTTTCATTTGGAAGACTCCCTTATCCATCCCTATTTAATTTATAAATGAATATATTCCTTTATTTACTAAAGCACATTTTAAATTTCAATATTTAATTTGATGAAATAGTGACAATTATCAATATAAAATAAAAAAATCTACTTCAAATAACATTAAGTGCTTTCAATATATTACAACCTATTAGTTAATTAAAAAGAGAGGTTTATTTGATTATTTTAACTATTTTGTAATTAACAGAGAAAATGTTCGATAAATAATAATCCTCTATCCATAAATTAATTTCTTTAATAGATCTGAAATGCTCTTATTATTATAGGACTTTCTAAAGTTAAAAAGATATGTTTGAAGAACAATCTTTAAAAAATCATTTTAGGCAAGACTACACAACTCTCATTTAGAATAAAAATAATTAGGTAATTTAATGATGGTGGCATTTACCTTGTTTCTGCATCACTGAGTACAGTAATTTTACAATATCTTACTATCTTAATTATTTGAGCAATTTTATTCATGGAGATAATTTTACTAGTTTTCAGTCAGCTGGCTAATTACTGCCTGGATGGTTTTTTGCTACCAACTTCATTTTCCAATTTCTTATTAATTTCATGTTTCTCCAAAGATAAACAAAATAGAGCTTGGCTTATCAACTTTAAATTAAGCTATAATCTTTTATATAACAAGTTATTATAATCTGATTATTTCTAAATATCTAAATTAATTTGCATTTAATACTTCTTTAAACTCCTACAATTTTGTTAAATTTGCCACTTTTTCTACTCTTATATTTTATATTATCAACTGCATAGTCATTAAATATCTCACTATTAAATTCTGTTATGTATCTCATAACATTTCTATATATTCAACTTTAATTTTATCAATTAAGAGATCAGTTTATACAATCATGTACTAAATGATGAAGCTAATTAATAAGAATTTATCTTAAATGATGAGAATGCTGTCAAAATCAATTTTTTTTTTTAAATAAATGCTAACTTTCTTAGCTTTTATTAATTTCAGTATTTGTTTCATAAATTCTTCATATCACTCAATAAGAGTTAAGGTATGAATTGGCTATAATTTCAATCGGAATTCTTATTTTTTGCAAGTCCAATTAAACTATAAAAAGTAGCATATAATATTTTAATAAATAAAAGATAATTACTCGTTTATCCAAAAAATTATTAATTCTTTATTATCCATATTTATATAGAATAAATAAAAGTTTACTACACAAGATAGATTATTACTTTAAATTCATTAATAAGTATTTTAAATAATGAGGACATCAAAAAATTCAATCCATGATAGCTTAATTGATGTTTCTAATTCATAATTGATCACAATATACAAATAATTAAGAAATTTACTTATGAAAATGGATAATTAACCACATGTTCTTAATCCAAATAATTTTGATAGCCATAAAGTAAATAATAGCAAATTTTATAACTTAAACTACACCTTAAACAAGTTATATATCTATCTTAATAGTAAATATCTTATCAAGTATAATAAATTATAATTTTATTATTAATTAATGGACATCTGAAAATTAGTACTATTACAATAATTTTAATATATGTATCATAAATAAATTTTGTGATAAAATTGTTAATTTATAATGGAAATGCTTAGTTGAATAAATGGCTCATTGCTTTTTACATCATTAAATACTATTGATAGATAAATTTAAATTATAAATATCTTAATCCCAGCGCTTAGCTATTATCCATCATTAAAATATTTTACAGGTCCAAAATTCAATTAATGTAAAAGTTATTAATATCAATTACCTGGAAACAATATTTGTCCACTATTCCCATCTAATTAATATTATATGAAGAAAGTTGCATGGAGATATATTTCAAATTGATTCTATTATAGATTTTTTTAATCTTATCCATGTATTGAAATTTAAATATCTTAGTTTGCCAAATTGAACATATACTGATTTTGCAGGAGAAAAATTAAAGAATTAATATACATGATAAAATACATTTAGGTATATCCATAGATTATAAATTTTTATTAGTCTTAGCTAGGGGATTTGAAAATTTTATCAATCATTTTCTATAACAACTAATGCGATATATTTAGTTGGTTTTTAAGCCAAT